AGCGAGTGTGTGGTGTGCGTGGTGCAAACTAGGAAGAGATTTATCTCATATTTATCCAATTATTTATTGTAATCATTTAATACCGTATTTATACAAAGGTGCCAAACACATTGAGGAAAGAAGGTTTAAATTACGACCTTATAGTTATGATATAACATTTGAAATCCTAATAATCATATGTTTGTGCAAGCTCTGTTTACCTCTGTTTGCCCAATCTCAAGATTGGTTGCCCAAACTGCGGATGCGCTGAAATTCCAAGTTTGTGCAAGATTCCAAGTTTGGGCACAACAGCACCAAGTTGCAAGATGTATATTTCAAACAAGTGACCATTCAGCTACACACAGATGCCAATGTCATGGCAGTTGGATGTGTATTTCGGCTGTAGTGTTGTGAAAAGATTCGAGCGTTTTGGAATTTCTTTGCGGACGCTTTCTTACCTTCTCTATATCACTGTGTATTTGTGCATGCAGAATGGCGTTCGCGCTATGTGTTGCAGCGGTGTATTGGACGGTGTTGAAGTGAAGCTATTAATATTAGGTCAAATCAAACATTAAGACTATTACTGCCATACTGGTACTGGTACTGGTAGCTAGTACTGACAAGTTGTATTTATTAACCATCATTTTATTATTGAAACGGTCCAAGTGCCTGTGAATGTGATGGGTCCCAAAAAAACCAATGTGCCTAACCCTAACCCTAACTAAATCGGCTAATCATACCCATAACCATGCATAAACCTATGCAGATATTTAATACAGCTGTTTCGCTGGCATTTGCACGACAACGTAACGCTGCAACAGAAGTATCGTATTCGTAATTCATTGCAATGTTTAGGCTAGTATCGTAATATCAAGTATTTACATTGTAATGTATTTCACTATTTGCACTAACCCGATATCGTTGCTCATGACGCTGTTGATCACCGCCGGCCGAGATATTCCTTCAGCTTTCGATTTTCGAAGATTCGTCGCCTTTCTTGAACCCCACTCCGGTGGCAATGGGCGTAACGCTACACTGCTACCAGCAAAACCGCGAATAGTAGGGTAAAGATACTTACTAAAACACGATCTGCAGCACAAGACACGTGTACACAGTTTCATCACCTATTATTTTAGGCACGTGACTACAGTATGGCGCCACCATGTGAGATATATAATAAGTTTTAGCTCAACTTCACTAATTTCCTCGGATAATTTCACTTTATATAATAAAAAAATATATTAAAAACAGCACAAGTGATGTATGCCTAGTTTTTATCATATATAAATAATTAAATATACATGTGATATTTTATACACATAATTATTGTCATATATCTGTGATATCGATTATCGGTCTGGATTATCAATTTTATAATTTGTATAAAGAATACGTGTAAAAACATATAAAATATAAAAGTATAAAATACAAAATATTTCAAATTCACAAACTCTTTGCCAATAACATTGATTTAACAAAATAGTTTACAAAATACAAAACGTGAGATATTGTAAAACACCACAAGGCGGCGCTGGCATAGACACATCAAAGCTCCTGCGTCGTGCAAGAAACGTAATCGGTAAGGCGAAATATTTAGTTGAGAGTAATATTATATTCGCAGGTCTTTAGTTGATAAATTATTGGGTAGGGGTGACCGTGAGTGTATAATATATATCTTATAATATCATATAACATAATATTGGGCTACAGTACTGTATGTTGCGCTCGTGATCAATGTCGGTACCTACAAAAACAATGTGACGGACGATCATGCGATTCTACACGCTGCACCTGACTACGTCAGATGAGCTAAAAATTGGATACCAGATCTTTGGGGGGGGGGGATACCAGATTTCAATACCTGGTATCCCAAATGGATACCATAATAAAAATCTAATTTCAACCCCTGCTGGAGATATACTCCTACGTACATTACAAGTTAGACCTACTCTCCTGCTACACGGACTGAAGCGGTTATACACTCGTACAGCCGAATTACAAGTGAATCTACAGCACACTGTACCTCCGTAGATGGCGAACGACTGATCGTAGAAGAACCGCCGCTTCAGTAGATCCTCCATCTTCGCTCGGTCGAAGTTGGCGGCGTGCGGCGTCATCTCTAGCTCCTTGTCTTCCAGCAGCTTCTTCTTCGCCTTCAGTTCCATGACAGCCTTCTTTAGATCGAACTCATCGGCGTGGTTCTCCTTCAGCTTGCGCACGAGGTCTCCCTGTTCCTTGACCGACGCTCGCAGCGGCTCGAGGACGTCTTCCAGCATCTTTCCTCTGCGCAAAAAAAAACGAGTAAAATGCACACCACTGTATGGCAACATGGGATACGCGCATGCACGGCTGACACTGGCATTCGCCACCTTCACAAAATGCAATATATATAAGATATGCATAAATACAATTTATAATATATAAATAATAGTGCCAAATACATTTGGCGAATGATTTAATATATTATGCATATATATATATATACAATGCCACTAAGTCTTGTAAATATGATGGTGTGCTGACAGCAGTGTCAAAAATACACCCTACAGTGTTTTAATGACATCAAAATTAAAATGTTAGAATATGCAATGTTTTCCTGTACACTTTCTACATGGAACGTCCAGGGTTGGCCACCAGTCGGTGTACTGTGCATTGGAAGGGGAAATCATGACATGAGTATGAAAGTAATAGTATAATACTGCGTATTTCCTGCTGCCAAGTTATTGTAGTGCTCCCTATTTCGCTACACTTTGCGCAGACGCTGAAACCCCATCTGACTCTTTGTTTGCATCAGAACCCCGCCCACTGAATGAGATTAACCAGTTGCTTGCAGTAAACCTATACTATAGCTATATTTAGAAACAAGCAACCGGATACATGCAGGAACCTGAGGAATGCGCACGCACCCACACACAAAGTTGCCCAAGGATAGAGAACATGGGTCCCACAGGCACTTGGACCGTTTCAATAATAAAATGATGGTTAATAAATACAACTTGTCAGTACTAGACCTACCAGTACCAGTACCAGTAATAGTCTTAATGTTTGATTTGACCTAATAACTTCACTTCAACACCGTCCAATACACCGCTGCAACACATAGCGCGCACGCCATTGTGCATGCAAAAATACACAGTGATATATCATATAGAGAAGGTAAGAAAGCGTCCGCACAGAAATTCCAGAACGCTCGAATCTTTTCACAACACTACAGCTGAAATACAAAATCGCAGTATATGCAAATTCGAGCAGGATTTCTCATATAATTCTGGGTAAAGTATGTGGTACTGTTGTACCCAAACTTGGAATCTGCACAATCTCGAGATTGTGCAGCGATTGTGCTGCCCAAACTGCGGATTCCCTAGTTTGGCTGACCAATCTCAAGTTTGGGCAAACTGAAAACAGTTGGTGATTCAACAACCGCTCATAGCGAGTGTGTGGTGTGCGTGGTGCAAACTAGGAAGAGATTTATCTCATGAGTCATATTAAATCTTATCCAATTATTTATTATAATCATTTAATATTTATACAAAGGTGCCAAACACATTGAGGAAAGAAGG